AAAAATGACAATTTCAGAGCCTCTTATTGTCCTAGTGCAAAAGCAATATACAAGTCAGGTAGCCACAGGATGGACAGGACCTGATGAAAGAGATTAGTTCTAGTTGGCGAAGAATTGAGACAAGGCAAAAAATGACTCAAATTATTTATTTCACAATAATCAAAGACTTAGCTCTCTGGAAAAGTCTATAATGCAATAAAAGATGGAAAGAAAGTGACCAGAACCAAAGTGGATAGGCTCAGTTACAGTAGTGACCAGTGCACAGTTGGAAGACTTGACAAGCAAGATTATGAACAAATCCTTCTGGAGAAAATCTAACTCTGTGGTTCCTTAGAGTCAACATTGACTTGATGGTGCATAATCAGCCGAAATGCTACTTCATCTAGCAGCAGCCTCCATGGCTGTGGGCTGGGTCAGATAAGTAAAAAAATTAAAGATAGCTATGATAACTATCCAGTCAATATCTTGCCATGCTAATTAGATTTTTTATTCAGAGTTATCAAATTCTAAGGGAAGAGATTCTAGCTGCTTGAATTACAATTCTTTAGAATTCTTTATTGGCCAAGTGTGGTTTGACACACAAGAAATTTGTCTCTGGTGCATAAGCTCTCAATGCACATACAAGTAATAGTGACAAATCATGATCATAAAAAACAAAAAATACATTAATCATAAATCATAAAATAGAACACTTCATCATAAATCATAAGATGTAAAACTTAGTGATAGTCATAGGCTACTAGCTAAGCAAACAACATAAATCATACTAGGATACTAAAAACAATATAAATTGTAAAATACAAGCAACAAAGTTATAGTCCTAAGAAGATAAGAATACATAATAGGAAAGATGAGAATAATAGTAATACAGCTTTACTAAGTAGTTTGACAATGTTGTAGGAATTAGTTGTTAAGCAGAATGACGGCATGGGAGGAAAAACCGTCCTTGTGTCTAGTTGTTTTGGCATGCAATGCTCTATAGCATCATCTTGAAGGAAGAAGTTGAAATAGTTTATGTCCAGGATGTGAGGGGTCCATAGATATTTTCATAGCCCTCTTTCTGGCTCGTGCAGTATACAGGTCCTCAGTGGAAGGCAGGCTGGTAGCAATTGTTTTTTTCTGCAGTTCTAACTACCAGCTGAAGTCTGTGTCTGTCTTGTTTGGTTGCAGTGCCAAATCAGACAGTTATAAAGGTGCAAATGACAGACTCAATAATTGCTTTGTAGAACTGTATCAGCAGCTCCTTGGGCAGTCTGAGCTTTCTGAGTTGGCACAGGAAGAACATTGTTGGCTTTTTTGATGACATTTTTGATATTAGGTGTCCACTTGAAATCTTGAGATATTATAGAACCTAGAAACTTGAAGATCTCTACTGTTGATACTGTGTTGTCTGGTATTGTAAGAGGTTGTAGAATAGTAGGGTTTCGCCTAAAGCCTACTGTCATTTCTACAGTTTTGAGTGCGTTCAGTTCAAGATTGTTCTGGCTGCACCACAAGGCTAGTTGTTCAATCTCTCGTCTGTATGCAGATTCGTCATTGTCTCGAATGAGGCCAATCACTATTATATCATTTGCAAACTTCAGTACTTAAACAGAGGGATCTTTTGAGATGCAGTCATTGATATATAGAGAGAAGACAAGTGGAGAGAGCACACAGCCCTGGGGGCCCGCTGTGCTAATTGTCCAGGTATCGGATGTGATTTAGCCTGGCTTCACTTGCTGCTTCCTGTCTGTTAGAAAACTTATGATCCACTTACAGGTATGGTCAGGCATGGCTAGCTGATTTTGTTTAGTGAAAAGAATATCTGGAATGATGGTAAAAGAATTCCGAGCTGAAATCAACGAAAAGGACTCTTGCATAGGTCTTTGGAGATTCAAATATTGAAGCTCAATAGCTTAAATATGTATGCAGCAGTACTTAATTTCACTCAGGGATGTTTTTTTAAAATAAAGACGCAATATAAAGTGTATCCTTATTTTAAAAACTAAAATAAAATGGAAATGCTCAGAAAATAACTATTTGCTCTTACCAAGATATAGTCTGTCACAAACTTGAGCTGACTCTCGTTTAGAAGACCATCAAAACTAAAATAGTATTTTAAAAATAGACTGTCTACTCATATACAATGTTATGATATTTTCAAGTCTAAATATATGTTTAACATTCAGGAAGTTGTATCTCCTGATGTACAGATTGTTGAGGAACTGATTTTGAAGGAATGAAAAAATGAACAATCTTTATTTCCATAATTTTCATAGAGAAAAGTTTGAGAGACTATGCTAGTTGGCTAAGGGTCCAGAGGTTATATTTAAATCAGTTGAATAAAGAAGCAGGGGTGTCAAACTCAATTTCATTGAGGGCCACATCAGCATTGCGGTTGCCTTCGGGGAGGCTGGGTGGGTGTGGCCTACTGGGTGGGCATAAATGGAGTGGGTGTGGCCTTCTGGGTGGGCGTGGCCAGCTCTATATCATTCGCTTCAAGGGTGCCTGTGGGGACCTGGGCAGGAGTGGGACAGATTTGAGGGTCTCTGGCAGAAGGGGGTGGGACCAGGGCAAGTGCCAAGGCATGGCTCACTGGAGGAGCCTCACTGTTCCTCTCAGGCCATGCGGGGGGGGGGGTGCTTTCCTTCTTTCCTTCCTTCCTAAGTACAGAGTGGTGGGAAAATATTTGAGATGAGGGTTGGAGAAAAACAGGCAAGAAATGCAACTGAGGAGGTGTCACCCTTCATGAGGAATGAAGAAATGCACCATGCACCCAGGGGCTGGTTCCTTGCTGTTTCCAGACGGCCATGTGGAGCTAAGACTGAATGCGTTTCAGCATAGATGGCCACCACAGAATTATATATTGTCTCCCGGCAGGCCAGGGCCAAGGCAGCAGGGGCTGTTCCCTCACTGTTTCCAGGATGGTTTCGTGGGCCACATGAAACCACTTCGTGGGCTGTATCTGGCCCCTGGGCCTTGTGTTTGACATGTCTGAGCTATAGGAACCAAGAATAGATAAGATTATGAAAATGTATCATATAAAATATTATTAGAGAAAAGTTCATGTATATAGAAAGGACAATTTTATCAGTACAGTATAGCGAGAGATCAACATTAGGAAATTTTAATAATGGAATTCATAAGACAAATCATTTATTTTAAATGCATATGTATATGCAGGGCTTTTTTTGTCATAGAACGCCCAAAATGGAGTCCGGCACCTTTTTTGGATGGAACCTTGTAGGGTAGGCAAGGCGGGTTGCATGACGTGTGAGTTCCAGCACCTTTTTTTTTTTTTTTACAAAAAAAGCACTGTGTATACATATGTATTCCAGTATTCTATATTCTCTCCCAAATTTTTTTTAAAAAGTATCTCTCTCACATGGACTTGTTTTATCTAATCACTTCAGTCAAAGTTGGCAGGGTGCAGTTCCATCGATTAAACAATGCCATTTACTTGGTCCCTGGAATTGCGCCTTTGCTGTAGCAAAGTTGACTCAAGTTCTCCCCCCCAAAAAAAAACAGTTCCCACCTGACTGATATTTTGAAGACTACTAAACACCTGGCTCTTCAGCCTGCCTTTTGGCAAGGGTAATTGATGCCCCTTTCTTCCTTTGTGTTCATTTCTGACTTTGTTTTCTTTGCAATTATTGTTCTTTTCTCTTGTGCTGATTTTTTTTGTTCTTAAATGTTAACAGTTGTAAACTGCCCAGAATCCCTGTGACATATACATTTTATGAATAATTATTTATGATTATTTCAGACTGTCTGGATTCATGATTCTAAATATGGAGAGAGAGTGAATATTTCCCCTCTGGTACAATATTAAAATACAGGATCAGCCATTAAAAATAAATGTAAGGATATTTAGAACTGATAAAATAGAACATTTCTTAATAACAAAACTCTTGATTTTTAACATCAGATATGATGATTGCCACCTATTCCTTTTAAAAGGAAATTGGACCAAATCATAGAGAATCTGATTATCAAAGGCTGTTAATCTTGATGACTGATCCAGTAAAGTAATATGCTTTCTTAAATCCTTTTTACAACTGGGTATGCTATGCATTCTGGATTTTATTGACATACAACATGTTTCTCTTTCTCTCTCTGACATATTTGGAGATCTCACTCACAATAATTTTAGTTTTTCTTTCCACACTAAAAAAAAAAAAGCAAGAGTTGATTGCTTTGTAAGGTATCCCTAAGTACTTGTAGAAATATCATCCTGTCCCGCTCACCAAGTACACTCCATGGGTGTTAAAAATCTTTATTGAGGTTTTCCAAGCCCCGAATAATTTTCCCCAGAAATTTCCTACATCAACACCACTGCAAGCCCCAAGGAATTCAATAGTCTAATCCAAAAAAAACCCAGCGCAAATCCACAGGGCAAAGACAATCTGCAAGGCATGTCCAGAGTTCAAGAGGCATGATCCAAAGTCCGAGATATAGAATCCAGGTCCAGGTCAAGTAAAAAATCATAGCGGCTGAAGAACACACAGCAGGGAAATGGATAAGCTGTTCCCAACATCGTTTCCCTCCATGTACTAAGCTAAATAGCCACTACACGGTGCAGCCTATCAAGAGAGGTGAGGCTACTACCTTGCAAGTAGCTTGGCTGACTTTAGTTGCATTTTCCTCTTCAGCCCTATGTGCTTGTCAGATCAGGTCCTCTCTGATGGCCAGCTGCAGCTGCCCTTCCTCTGCTCAAAATTTTGGGGCTTCCCAGCTATAGCTGTGCCTCTTCTGTCCCTAGCTCAGCCGGATGCTCATCGATTGTCCTCCTGCAACCACTCCACTGTGCTTGGCCTCGCTGCTCGTGGCTCGGAGCCTCTGGCAATCTCCTAATGTTCCTCCACATCTTCCCCCACCATCCCTGGAACTGGCTTTTCCTAGTCTAAACTGGCATCTGGAAAAGCGGCCAAACTATAACTATAACATTATATAGTGTTATAAAAGTGAATGATTCTAAAGTAATCCTAATTAATCAAATATATTCTTTTCTCTCTTTCTAGGTACTCCACTTTTGGTTAGAAGGAGTAGTGATCCAACTGTGGGACAGCCAGCTGACTTTGTGCCAGGAGCTTCACATGCTAATCACCATATTTTGAAGCCCTCTGTGTCAGTAGGTATCTTGAGCTTTCAGATTCTGACATTGTTCTTAGCAGTATTAGCATTCTTAGAAATCCAGTTGTTAAGCAGTTTATATTCTATTAAGCTGTGTTATAACTCCTCAAAGAGTGACTTTTGGGAAAAAAAATTCACAAACATCTGAGACAATTTTCCCAATTCATTTGAGAAAACATCTCTGTCCAGTGAAAGATGAATGGAAGAAAAATATTTTTCTGAAGCTACAGTACTGTTTTGCTCACTGGATTATAACCTAACTTCTTAGTAAAAACTCAAATGCAAAATACTTGAAGAAGAATTCTAATAATGTGTTTTCTTAAATCCTTTTTACAACTGGGTATGCTACACAAAACACGCTCCTGAAATTTATGAAAATTCTAAAACTGGCTGTCTGATATGAAGGGGTACAATGTGTATCTATGGATACACTTGAAAGAAAGAGACATAAGAGAGGAATTTTGGAGGCATATGCTGAGTAGAGCATTTGATATTCCTTCTATATACGTGTGTGTTGTGCAAGTATTATTTTTCATCTCAGTGGAACACAAAAAAATTCTAGATGCTGTAAAATCATGTTCACAAAAGCAAAACAATTTCTATGTTTTACTGAAATGAGAATAATTACTCTTCAGAGCTGTTTCACAAAGTTATTAATATAGCAGCTGCATTTAGTCCCAGCTGGCACTTCTAGTTACATGTATATATAAAAGTGTATATTTGAAATATTTTATTTATTTGATATAACCACTTGCTCCTTATGTTAAGTTTAATTAAATTTCAGATGAATTAAAAATTAAATAAGAGAAATTTAATTTTCATTCCGAAAGCTATGCTTGTTACTGAAATCCAAACTATTTGTATTTGCTGGATTATAGTTAGTGGTAATTTCTGGTATATTACATGTATAGTTGCCCAAATCTTCTTCAAACAAAGTTCTAATGATTTTTCAAGAATTTAAAATCAAAGTAAACTTAAACACAGAGGAATTCGTTCAATGTCATGGTGAACAGATGATCATGAAAATCTCAAGTCACTCTCAAGTAGAATTTGATTCATGCTTACGTGAACATTTCAGTGTTGTTTTCTTAGCAATAAAATAGCATATGTTTTTCCAAGATTTTTTTCAGCTTCCTAGTTTAGTCTATAACACTGTTATTTTCTTGTGGTATCATATTCAAGTACCAATTAGATTTGATCCTAGTTGACTTTTTTAGATTATCCTAAGTTTATTAGGTGTTGCTGTTTGAGGTGCATTTTCAATAGTACTAAACTTTTTAAAATGTGTCTAATGATGACTTCCGGTGGTTCCAGCGATGACGAATGGCGGCGTTTTACAAGCCGCCCGTTCCTGGTGCGTGTAAAAGCCGCGGGACTTTGACAATCAGCTGTCCCGCGGCTTGAATCTCCTCCCTGGGAAAAAGGGAGGAGGAGAGCTCTCAGGTAGAGGTAAGAGCTCCCCTGGATCCCTGTTATTTTGGGGATCGGAGGGTAGAGCTCCCTCGGAGCCTGAGCAACTCCGCGTTCCAGGGAGACTTCATTCCGAAGCTTTTGGGATGAAGCAAGTTGCCGCTTCCACATCTGCTTTTTTTTCCAGCTGCTTGTGAGTATTTGAAAGCAGACGGAGCAGACCAGGAGAGACTGTGCTCAAGTTTGATGGTGCCTTTAACTTCAGCAAGTTTCCTCTTCCTTTTCTTTTGTTCACTTGCCCTTTAGAAGAAAGGGAAAGTGAAAAGTAAAATGGCGATCGTCTTTCTTGCCTGATTTGCATTACAGAGTAAAACCTGGATACAGATTAACTCTTTAAATACAGAAAATCTTTCTTCTTGGAACTTAAGAAAATGGCTTCAAGATGTCTGCCTCCCGTCCCTAAGGTTCCTATTTCTTCTCCAATGCCTCAGCCTGCATCTCAGAAACCAAAATCACCTCCACCTTCTCCTCCTCCTCCTGCAATTTCTCTTAATGATTTACAAGATGCTTTAAAACAGCATGCCTTGGATATTAAGGAGGAGGTAAAAGATCTTATAATTGCAGAGAGGGCTAATACAGAAGAATTATTGGAGAAAAAGAATAAACAAGTAAGAGACTATATCCTTCAGGGCTTAGCCCTGCACATAGAAAGGATGATGACCATGGAAAAGATGATTGATGCAGGAGGTAGAACAAGATAGAAATTACACAGGATGAACAAATCATTTCACAATATAGGGAGATGGAACACGCATTGCGTATCAGAGGCCTGAGGGAGAACCCTCAGGAAGACTTAAAGATGCTTATTGTGAAAGATATTGCTCCTAATATGTGGCTGGCGGCCTGAAATAATTGAGAATGAGATAGAAAAATTTTTTAGAGTTAATTCACGGGTTGCTAGACAGAGAAATCTACCAAGAGATGTGGTTATTTATTTTTCTAGAAGATCTATCCGTAATGAAATTATACAGGCCTTTTACAAACAAAAGTTTCAAATTGCTGATCAAGACGTGATAATTTTAAAAGAGATACCTCCAAAAATTTTAAGAGCCAGAAAAGATTTCACTTTCTTGTCTGATGAGTTAAAACATCCTCAAATTCAGTTCAGATGGGAGATTCCAAGAGGAATAATAGTAAATTATGAAGGGATACGTCACAGATTAACTACTGTTTCCAAAGCAAGAGATTTTTATCAGTCTATCTTAAAAGCAAGATTGTCACCACCTCCACAAATAAGGATGACGGAAGAGTCTCTTATGGCAGGAGCCTCATCAATGATGGTTATGGAACAAGCTGCACCGAATTCTGACATAAAAGAGCAAAGGATGACACGAGCTGCCCATAAACGTAAAGAAAAAGAGCAGTTGCAGAAGAGTGGTGAAAGTTTGGTTGTTACAGAGCCTGTGGGAGGGGCAAGACCAAAAAGATCTTCGACAGCAGATCTGCAGGCCATGCTCCAGAGGCTCCAGGCCGGTGGAGATGGTCAGGTTCCTGACCTGGAATGTTAATGGCTTAAACGTGCCCCAGAAATGAAGAAAGATTTTCCATTATTTGAAACAACATAATAATGATTTGATATGTTTGCAGGAGACTCATATAACTTTAAAGGATTGTAAATTCTTGATGAATTCCCGTCTGGGCACACATTTTACTGCTCCAGCCCCTGGGAAAAAAGGGGGAGTGGTAATTTATGTGAAGAAAACTTTTTCAGCTAAACTAATTGAGGCTGATTCTGAAGGAAGATATCTTTTTGTGGAATTATTATTACAAGGCCGAAAGGTTCTTATTGTTGGACTATATGCTCCCAATCAACAACAGAAACAATTTTATAAGTTGCTGCATGGCAAGATATCTCAGTTGGATTATAAATCGGTAATTTTGATGGGTGACTGGAATGGGGTTTTAGACCCAACTATAGACAAAAGAAGTTCCTCTAAAACTTTTATTCAAACTAAACTACCTATGACTTTCTTTGATTTGAAGGAAGAACTGGAGCTTATTGATATTTGGCGAGAAAGGAATACAAGTGATAGAGACTTTACCTTTTATTCTGATAGACACCAGTCATTTTCAAGGATTGATTTTTTTTTTGATTACTAGTGACTTCCTCCCTAGAGTGAGGAAGGTGAAAATTTTTCCTAGAACATTGTCAGATCATAGTCCCGTGTGGATGGAGTTATATTCGGAAGACGGGAATAGAAGATCCTGGAGATTGAATGAGAACTTATTTAATCGGGAGGAGTTCGTACAAAAGTGTAAAGAACATTTAAAGGACTTTTTTACTATAAATATGAATAAGGGAACATCGATGTCTGTGGTGTGGGACGCTAGTAAAGCATATATGAGGGGAATTTTGATTCAATTGAATAAAGTTTTTAGGGAAAAAGGGTCACAAAGACGTAGAGAAATAGAAGAAGAGATCAAATCAAAAGAACAAGAGTTGGTTCTTAACCCTACTGATAATAATTTAAAGGTATCTATAAAGATGCTTAAGGAACAATTTAACATATTGATGGCAGATCAGGTGGCTACCAATCTGTCATACATGAGACATAATACTTTTTGCAATGCGAATAAGCCTGGGAGGTGGTTGGCTTATCAGTTACGAAAGAAATAGAAAGCTAGAATTATAGAGAAAGTAAAATATAAAGGTACTGAGGTTTTTCAGCAAGATTTGATTAGAAAAAGCTTTTTGGACTTTTACACAAAATTATATTCAAGTGATAATATAAGGGGTTTGGATATAGATAAATATTTACAATCAGTACATTTTCCTAGACTTTCAGAGGAACAACAAAATGGGATGAATAGTTCAATTACTGTGGAGGAAATTGGTTTAGCTATTAAGCAGTTAAAGTTGGAAAGTCTTCTGGAACAGATGGACTGACTTCTAGGTATTATAAGATCTTATCTGAAGAAATGATAGAGCCATTAAAGGAACTCTTTAATAGTATTTTGTTGGGTATGCAAGTTCCTCCTTCTTGGAAAAGAGCCTTTATATCACTGATTCCGAAGGAAGATCAGGATCTTGCAGAGCCTAAGAATTATAGGCCAATTTCATTATTGAATGTTGATTATAAGATCTTTACAAAAATTTTGGCAAATAGATTAATGCAGGTTATGAAAGACTTGATTCATAGAGATCAAGCAGGATTTATAACAGGGAGATATATGAAACATAATGTTAGACAAATTATTAACTTAATTGAGTACTTGGATAAGAATAATCAGATTCCTGTGGCTTTTATCTTTTTGGACGCTGAAAAAGCTTTTGATCAATTGGACTGGCAATTTTTATTTTCTTTGGTAGAGAAAATGAATTTTGGGGATAATTTTTTACATGCACTTAAAGCTATATATCAGCAGCAATCTGCACAAATTGTTGTAAATGGGGGATTGACTGAGAATTTTAATATTCAAAAAGGGACAAGACAAGGATGTCCATTATCCCCATTGTTATTTGTTTTAACATTGGAAATTTTATTGATTCAGATTCGGGAATCGAAGTTAATTAAGAGTGTAAAGATAAGGAAGAATGAGTATAAATTGCGGGCATTTGCGGATGACTTGGTTTTAATTTTGGAACAGCCGAATCAGGCGATTGATGGTTTATTAGAACTTGTAACACAGTATGGGAATGTTTCTGGTTTTAAAGTTAATAATTATAAGACTAAGATA